AGTGATGTGCCAGCATATTACGGCGTAGCAAATCTGAGAAACAAAATAACGCCTAATAAAAACGCCGGATTCAAAACAGTAATTTTGGCTTGCCCAATCAATATTAAAGTAGCAAATCAATATTAAAGTAGCAAAATGAATACCACTCAACGACAAGCGTTGTGGTGTGGTGTGGCACATACACAGATAAGCATTCTACCTAGGTAAAACATAATTAGGTTAAAAAAGCAGTGTGTGCGAGGGCTGCTAACAGCCATCGTGAAAAACGTAATTCAAATAACTTATAATACAATAAAAAATAAACAAAGAGTGTCATGAAACAATAGTATGCAAAACAAAATAAATGATAAACTTTCTTTCGAATTAACCTGACGACTTTGTTCAACAAAGACCAAATCAGAAGACGCAATGCAAGTTTTGCTAGATATTGACACGATGGTGTGATGAAAATAATTCAGAAAACATATCTTCTGTGGAGTAGTGGAACTGTTTGTGGATTTGTTGGGTTCGAATTCAGCAGTTTCTTCAGTGAGTTTCACAATGAAGTCAAATGTCTAAAGATAACAATATATTTATTCCATTATTCAAAAATTTGCCATGGTGGAAAGTATTTAAACGAGAGTTGTTTACTCCTAAATACATGGCAAATATTTGTCAAGATATTTATTCTCAAAATTTAACAGTAATCGGGGAATAAGTAATATTTGGCAGTATCGGGGATGGGGGGGTTGGGTGAAATAGGGTTTACACATTCGGATAACACCAAATTTGAAATAGTGTCTGCCCCGAGATATACATGAACGTAGGGTTAGGGTTAGGGTCGCGTCAGGTAGGATTTACGCAAGTGGCAAACACCAAATTGGAAAAGTTTTTTGCACTCTATATGTAGACAAATGTTTCAAGGCACCATGTTATACATACTCACTCCGTTAATATTCTAGTAGGAAAATCTCAAATAACACAAGATTTGTTCATAATGTGGAACAGTCATGAACATTGCACCATGTGTAATTTGTTTTCAATAAAAGTAGGGCACTAGTGATATATGCAGATTTTGTCAGGTTAATATGGTTTAATATTTGTTTTGAAAACATTAAACTAAAAACATACATAAATTAAATGTATTTATTTGCATAATTCATAATGTTATATTATCCGCTTCCGAAAACGTGTTTTATATGAGGGGGAAATCGTGCATCTACAGGTAGATTCAGAGCGGGTTCACAAACTTTTTAAAAATGAAATAATTATGAAGAAGTCCACGAAAATAACAGGCTATATATTTTGAAGGAGGACACATCAGTCATGGCGGCTGAATCATTAGAACTAGAAACAGATTGAGCTTCAATTTCTTTATGTCAAATATCTACTGATGACAAACTTGTGAACCCTGGAGAAACTAAGTTCAAGGCTCCTGCCTGGTAATAATGATCTTTTATTGACACGAAAAGCTATAAACTCTACCACTTGTATCAGGTGGTTATTTCGGGAGAACTCTTTACAGCGAGAACTGGGCACAGATTTGTCGATGCGCTAGGTTTCTGATTCACTGTAGCCACCTATATATTTTACCACTTAAAAATGTGTTAAATTTAATGGTAATACACAATTATTAACACAGAATTTATTAAACAAGGAGAAAAGCCTTTTGCTTGCTTCTTTTTGTCATAACAATATTTTTATATTATATAAATGCCGTTGCACTGTGACTGTAGTTGCTCACTTTTCAAGGTGCAAGGTCTGCTTTACCATAGCGATTTACAAAATATGCCACAATTACGTAGCTAAGACAATGCTTGTTTACAAAATATGCCACAGTTATTTGTAGCTATTACAATTAGCATATGAGTGCAACTGTAGTAATTACATAGCATGTGAATACAAGTGTAGCCGGATTACATAAAGACAAAGAGAAATAAACCAAAGGCCAGATCAATAGGTCACATGACCAAGAATCGTATCAATACCTTAACCGTGATTTTCGGTGATAAAAACGTGATTATTCAGCATTGCCTGAATTGGTTATTGTATATATTAGTACTTTGTAGCTATATTAATGATTTGCGTTGTAAACACTGATTCGTTAGGTTGAAAGTGGTATTACCACGGTCTTTCATGATATAATTTGTATGACATTGGATTTATTGACATTGTATTCAGCATTCATAATGCAATGCCCAGTTTATGGTAGGGTTGTAAGGTGGTTCTGTACTTGCGACTTCATTGCCTCGAAAGCAACTTTCATTCGCGATATCGTAACCTTCTTGTGCTTCACCCGTGGACTCATATAGACCACGGGCTACACCAAAATAACTAAGTGAACCTGTTGGAATCATAACATGGATAATAGCTTCCCCTTGATAGATTATGTTAACGTTCTCTTGGAATTCACGGTTTATCTCTAAAAGGGTACAGTGTTGAGATATTTCATTCGGTATGATTTTAACTATTGTTTCATCTATTTCATTTCCCACCTCACCGCCCTGATCATCATATGGTTGATCGGACTCTCTGACATAATCACTGCACTTGAATTCCATACATAGAGCTGCCTTCTCGTCAATGATTGAGGACGTACTTGCTGCACGAAAACCATACTCGCCACAGCCAAAATCGGCGCTTGAACTACTTGTAACTTGAAACCGATTCTCGGTTTGGCCGGTTACGAGGATCTTCATAAAACACGTTCTCTTTCTGCGATCTGATTCGTAAGGATACCATGAACATTTGTCTCTGGCTTCCTCATAGTACGTCGGGCTAAACTCGTAGTGTTTGGTGTAATGAGTAATTATCTTATCATTGTTTACTGGATGGTCTTCTTTTTTAAATATAACGTGACTGTCGTTTATTGCCGAATTTGAACATCTCCATTTAGCTTCAGTATAACAATCAACACTGAAGCATCTAGATGGGTGAAGTGGGCCGTTATCTAAATGTGATTGTTTAAGTCCGGAAAAACTAATGAAGCCTGACGAGTCCCATTCCGCTGAGGTTAAATATGTTGCTATGAGATCAGTAGGCCAACTTCGTGGATGAACTGTTGACGGCGCCGTGTTTGGATCTTGTGGTAACAATACTTCCTCCTCGAATCTTGCGCGAACATTTATCAAGTAACGGTTGATATCTGCGTGGCACATAACACGAGGACATGCAGCGCCATTGGCGTCAGTATATACTTCCTCAAATACACTCAACTGTCCTTGCTCATTGGTTATAGCATTTACCTCAGCATTTTTTATTGGTGTATTCAATGTATCATAAACTTTAACTTTTAAAAAACATATTTCGTCAAGTGGAGCCAAATAGTCTACATTAATTATTGCTTTACCAAATTGTTGTGTATTGACCTCGATGTCGCCTACAATTATCTGTTGATTAGTATCACGTTTACGTCTTCTCTCCCCTGCAACACGCATACTTCCGGTCTCTACCCATTCTCCAGTATTTTCTTCTAGATACCACATTTTAGGAAGATTGTTTTCTGTGACACTTATATTAAGTATATCGAGGTCATAGTAGACCTGGATGTTGCCGTCGATATATAAAGTATTTCCCGTTTCATCTTCAAAGTTAATAGAAAGCATACCATATGTTTGAAGAGATCTCAGATTTCCCTCCACATCACGAGTACTAAGATCACTTTGTATGATGTCAACAGCCTGGGGATCTTTCGGGTCAACAAACGTTATACTCGCAGAAGCATTTGCGGTATATACACTGCCATTCACTGTGCGAAGTGACATAGCTGGAATGTCAATTTCAACAGCGTTTTCGGCAGTAAGAGGAACTGTGAAACTCTCAGATGAGTTGAATGACACAGTAGGAGCAAGACGCTGTAGAAGAATTACACGATAAATCTGGGATTCTTGTGAAATTGTAAATACCTTTGTAGCATCAGCGTATTCGTCATATATATCGCGAATTGTTATAGTTAAGCGTTTTCTCCCAGCTGGTACTTCAAATTCAAACTCTCCAGATCTCGAGGTTTGACGTAAGAACTCTGATCCTAAGTATATTTTTCCATATTTAATAGGTTCACGTGTGTCGGCTGCTATCACACGACCCCTTACGCTTCGAATGGGGTTATAACACTCGCCACAATTGCATTCAGTCGTAACTATGATGGATATATTAAAACTACTACATTGCAGTTGCCTCTTTTCGCTGTTGGATTCCACGCAGCAGTACCTCTTAGAGTCAGTACACTCCTGGGCCACCAAATCGCCTGAACATGGTGATCGGCTACAAATACCAATATCATAACGCGATGAACCATTCAGTCCTATGCAACCAGGTGGGAGTTCAATGTAATTTCGTTGTAGGCTATCAGTGCATGGATCCGGGTCATCTGTTAAATATAATTACGTACAACATCCACATTATGGATCAGTATTGAAAAAATAATCAAATGGTACAAAAAAGGAAATATGACAAGTTAACATTAATATTGTTAATAGTGCTATTATTGAAACATAAAGCATTCTGTTTAAGTACTAAACTAGCAGTACAACGGGTAAAAATGGTTTATAATCATTTTACAAACATTCCATCACAGACAGAGAATTAATCACATTGAGCTAAATATACTTTAACATACAAGATAATCTGGCATATTACCATATATATCAAGCACAGCAGGAAGGGAATATGCCGCTCCTATATCACTGTTTATTCGGCATGTGTATGTCCCAGCATCGCTCACAGTCAAGTTATTCAGTAGTAATGATGTGTTGATTGTATACGACCAATCTTCTAGTATATCACCGTCCTTAAACCTGAAAAAGTAGGTAATATCTTACTAGGTGGGTTTAAATGATGCTGCATGTCAATTATATTGTTTCGTGTACGCCGTTATGTTGTTGTTTCAGATTTGTCAGATTCATACATGATTCTCTTCATTTTATTTTTATATTACTTGAATACGCTTAATTATATAATCAGTTACAAAATACACATTACCATTCATAGTAACTTGGATTCGGACTCCCATATCCATCGCAACAAAATCCCACACTTTGTCCAACATGTCTTATTTTGTTCTCAGGGTTGACCGTGATGAATGGATGGGCTGTAATATTAATAATTAATATTAAATTGGTACATGAAAGTATCATCTATGGTGAAGGATGGTGAGATAATTTTATAATGCAATTCAATAATGTGTTTATTAAGCGTTATCTAAACATATCATACCATTAAAAAATATACTAGTATGATGACGTTATATTCTACAAAAAAATTATATTTATATTTCGTTAATATAAAACAATATCTAGCAAATTTAAAAATATGTATATATATTGGCGTATTGACCGATCAACAGAATCTAGATGAAAAATTACTGACTGACAAATACCACGAAAACCATGCGTATTCAATATATATTTTACGTGGATAATACCTCACCATTTTTTTCCAATACAATTACGACGTTAGAGTAGTTTGCTGCATTATTTGTAGTGGGTGGTAGTGCATACGTTTTTCTAGTGAACTTCAACTTCTGAACTATCAACACAGACCCTCTGATACAAAGACCTTCAACGTGAAAACTGCCATCGATGAGTGATGCTGCGATTGGTTCCAATGGCAATTCCTCTCGAAATATTGATGCATTGTATACCGGCCGACCATCTACATCAACTACGACACCGTCGAGTACATCATGTTTACAAATACACGAACAATCAGAGTCAATGTCACCATATTGACAAGTTCGTGAGCAATCTACATGGTAAATATTACATAGTATTAGTTGTGAATTGAATTATTTATTACAAGTCGCTTTAAAATAATTAAGTAATATTTATTCTTACCAGGACAATCCCATTGTGCACATGTCCGTGACTGTACCGGGGAACCAGAACACGTGATGTCGATGTTCGATGTATAGCATGCTCGATATCTTATTTGGTTGCCACCACCACAAGTCGTACCACACGCTGTCCATTCACCCCATGTTAGCCAGGATGTATCCGCTGAAAACACAATCACACAAATTGTCTAAAAATTGCGTGTAGATTGTTGCTACATTCGCGCATTTTCTATTACTACTTCGCTGTGTTTTGTGCGTATCATCGTAGATGAATGGGAAAATATCTGTTCTCGTATTTATCATTGTTATTGTTTTCCAAGATACTGGTTAAATTTCACATTTTTTTCTTCCTGTGTATTAATGATGAGAAACAGATGCAATACCTTTTCGAAGATTTGTCAATTCCATAAATGTAATAAAGCCATATGTTGTTTTCATTATGAATCAAACAAAGGACAATTACAGTGTAGTTGTCTGTGTTTTCTTTTGTTTTCTTAATCTGGCTAGTTTTTTGTTTTTGTTTTTTTAGCTTTTACGCAGAGAACGTGCAGACATATGACCGAGGTGACCTTGTATTTCCAATATATACAATGTATAAAAAATGGCATATACATTTAACATTAAGCAAAAACCCAAAAATAAATTTAAACGTGACAAAGTTTATTACGGTAATACTGCAAAGTATGCAAACTTTGTATTATACTCATGATAACCCTGTCGTGATACATTGTTTCTATTTCTTACCCGCAATTACACTAAACAACATTCTTGGTTATGCAAAAGTTTGTTCAGCTGCGGAAATGTATTCCCATTATTAGTTTGTATCTGATGACAAAAAAGTGTTTAAATCAACATTTTTGGGACAAAGGGGTTTAAGGTCAATACCATAATATCCAGTGGTAGCAGCATTGACACACAAGATTTATGTGCGAATTGCGAAGACCGTTTAAAGGTCAAAGATTAATCGCATTATTGACTGGATTCACTGTTCACAAATAGATTCGCGTGTGCTCGATATTTTTCGTAAAAGTTATTGATAATAATTGTACAGATTTAATTGTGCATAATACGTACATTGCCAAATAATGAATTAATAAACCTTTGAACACATATCTCAGGCAAAATAGAAAAATATTAGAATGTACTTTATTCATCTAGAATCTGAGTTGGTTGTTTAATAACAGCTTTTGCACAGCTAACAGTAGTTCAATTGTTGTTTTGAGTAGACGTTCTAGTAATTATCAATGAAGCTTACATGTACTATAGCCGAAACAGGCCGTTAAGTGCCGTAACATTTGACTTGCTGTATTTTCACGCAGTAATCCTGCAAAATTGGCGAGTTTTAGGTGGTTTTCTGCAATCCAATTACGGTTTGTGTACTTTACATAACTCTTTTTGTATAGCAGGACACTAGGCTAATGAACTTTTTTAAATTACAACTGCTTTATGTATTTATTGCATTCAGTAGAGTGACCATGAATACACACTACACGTCAATCAGGAAATAGTAAGAATGAATCAAAAAGAATGAGATGGAAAGTTGAACTTGAATCACGTAAGCCTCGCTCTTAACAAAAACAACCCTTCTCTCATTATTTAGGCAAAATTTCCCGTAGTAGGTTTATGGTATAGCACCATGTTTGGTGGCTTGCGAGTTCCATCGTCTGATCTGACCTTTTACAGTCAACTATTGTTTTCTAGAATGAACAGGTCGCGTGTCAAGTATAACATGTTGGTATGTACAGAATATTTATTTACCAGTCTTTTGAGTGATAATTTGACGATTTAGTTTTTAATTGTTTTAACCATGTGATACGTTCGCTCGGCCCATACCGTTTTCTTTGGCGACTTATATGCATATACGGCGAGGCGTTTCATATTACTGAAAGTTTGTGCGATAGAATTAGTTCGATGTATAATTTATGAATAACCATGTAATGTGTTTAGTACATTTACCTTTGGCCAAAGCGTCTCGTCGGTAATCTGGGTATTGATGATTGATAATGTTTCATTATTTTCTTTCCTAGTACAACTGAAGATCATGGTTATATACGCCACTGGTATATGTAGATGATAGTCTCTTGTTTGGAGATGTTGGAAAAATTTTGTATTGTTCGTTATCATGCCACTGCACTATAGCTGCTAGGTATATGTTGAGCGTTTCACTAAATTTGTGCTTTCGTTTTTATGTTTTTGAATTTTACAAGCTCGTGTTTTAATATAGTTTTTTTGGATTATTCAAATAGTGTAAAGTTCATCGTAAGTACGTAATGAATGATTACGTATTGGAAATACGAAATAAAGATGATATATCCCTGAAAATGGCCCCCCCTGATTTTATTTGTTTTGAATGTGTGAAAGGGACTCACACACATTATTGAGAACGAAGAATCTAGACTAGGCATACTGAAGACAAATTCTAACAAAGGTTAGTGAACTGTTATGTGAAATGAAATAAAACTTCAGTTCAAATGACATATTTATCAGCTCTTCAGATCCACGAAACTAAGGATAATATGCTAGGTTTGCTAACTATTTACAGTGCCTTCAAGTGATTCATTCTAATAGGTGATTTTCCGTACAATTGCGAGATCTCGCGAGATGCATGAAAGACGCGCGTCGAACGTCTGCCGCAAATATCGAACGATTTGATTTTGAACTAGAATTTCTTTATTTCGTAGCTCACGTCG